CATTCCAGCCACCCTCAAGACAAGCTAAGCATTGCATTAGCTTCCTAGAGGTTCAAGGAAGCTAACCTGATCACCACAGCATCCTAAAGCAAGCTTATTTTCAAAACACGATTTCCATTTTCAAGGGGGTCCGGCTGGCCAAAGGTTGAAGATGAAGTACAGGGCAAGGAAGTGTTTTATGTTATGTATTTTTGTTTTCATTTAGACTAACGAATGTACAGCCACCCCAGTGGTAAGGCAACGCACAAAAATGCCCTAGGTCGTGGGTTCGAGCCTTGGCGCTGCCTTTTTGCATTTTTCTCACATTTTGCTTAAATCTTTTTTTTCTAAAACCATGAACCAGACCACATTACAACCTTCAAAAGTCCTAATTGAAGCAAGGTTATTTTGAAAGCATACTTCAATGAGATAGTGTTCCTGACTCCCATGAATGATCTAAATAGTTATGTTGGTATCATATGTTTTTCCTATACAAAAATAAATGATGCTTTAACTCGCAAAATTTGTACGACATCTTTTCAAAATCTTCAAGACTTACATAACTGTTGCATTAGAATTTTCATTCTCATAATAAAATTTTCTAACTGCAAAACATTTGTTTGATATCAAGGAAACTCACATATAAGCACCAATGATGAGTTAGTTCTTAAGGCCTGAAACTCTGTTGAGTAATTGGCGGATCACGTCAAGAAAAAATCATATCCAGGGGCATGTCACCTGAAGACCTTAAGCATGGACATGTTGCTTCTCCTAATTAATGCTTTCCCAACTTGTTTACTCTTTTGGGGAAAAAGTTGAAGACTTTGTTGTGCCAACTACGGTCAATTCGGGGCAATCACGTCGAGATTTATTGAATCTCTCTAAGAGTTTGAAGACACCAGAGCATGGTGAATGCCAGGTCTTTTGTAAAATCCTCTTGAGACGATTTTTCCTCATCAACCATATAGCTCAGGGCATTTTAGAGGTGAAGCTATTCGCAAGAATCGTCGTGCATCACGCAGCTTATCAGCAGTAAACTTGGGGCATCCAAAATTAATCCCAGGGGCAATCCAGATTTGTCAAGATATGTTTTTCATACATTATCAGAGGGTGGTGTTCCCAGTATCTCCAACTAAGCAAGACTTCTTTCCAGCTGAAACTTTGTTTGTGTTGTTATCCTTTCAATGGATTGTTTGCAATAGAAGACTAGACTTTGGGTTTTCTACCTGAAAATATCTTCCTCTCCAGAGATATTTAAGCCTTGTAAAAGGACCTTGCTCCAATGAGGGCCTGTGTTTTATCTCCAGTAATGTTCCCATCCTGTTGAGATTAGCCGAGTGTTGGGTTGTGCTATGATGTCTTATCATCTCCAGTTTATCTTGTCTATTTGTTTTGCCAGCACATACATGGCATTCATTTATTCATTCACACTTGCATCATGCATGCACATTTGTATTTGTTGATGTCTTTGAGTTTGTACACCTTGGTTATCTCTATTCAAATAACATATTTGATCTTTCCAAATAGAATGTCAACTTAAGCATAAAGTGTGCCTTTTTTCTAATTCCCCACTGAGTTAACTCTCGTGGAAGAATCTTTATTTAGCTTTCCTTTTCCATCTATGGATAGGATAAATCCCCATTTGAGTTGTTTCCTCATTGGGTGGAGTCTTGTTTGACTATTTTCTCTCCAGTTTATTCCTGGATTGAGCTTTGTCTCTTGTGAATGATACCCTGTGGATCTCTCTAGGCTGTGAAACCTCGATGGAGAGTGCATTTATTTTGCAACGTAAATACTTGGTCTCCTCAAGAAGGATTTATTCATGGTTCCCCATTGAAGATGAACTTTATTCCCCAGCAGTGTTATCGCAACCTTCTTCTGGAATATCGACATGACAACAAGCGACTGACTCTTTATTTGAGCAGTTTGATTATTTATGATTTCTCTACGACAAATGGCGGTCTCTTCATGAGCAGTTTTTCCATCCCCGATGAAATTATTGGTTCTCACCTCCAGCAATATCTTCACGATATTTTATGGGTATCTTTTTGGGAAACAGCAAGCGGCAGTCTCTTCATGAGGCAACTTGTGTGTTATGGATACTCTTGACAAACAACAAGCGGCGGTCTCTTCATGAGCAACTTGTATGTTATTGTCACCTTTGAAAACATCAAGCGGCGGTCTCTTCATGAGCAACTTGTATGTTATTGATACCTTGGAAAAAACATCAAGCGGCGGTCTCTTCATGAGCAACTTGTATGTTATTGATACCTTGGAAAAAAACATCAAGCGGCGGTCTCTTCATGAGCAACTTGTATGTTATTGATATCTTGGAAAAAACATCAGGCGGCGGTCTCTTCATGAGCAACTTGTATGTTATTGATACCTTAGAGAAAACAGCAAGCGGCAGCCTCTTCATGAGCAACTTGTATGTTATTGTTATCTTTGAAAAACAGCAAGCGACAGTCTCTTCACGAGCAACTTGTGTGTTATTGTTATCTTTTAAAAAAACAGCAAGCGGCAGTCTTTTCATGGACAACTTGTATGTTATCAACACTTTTTAACAAAAACAGCAAGCGGCAGTCTCTTCATGGACAACTTGTATGTTATCAACACTTTTTAAAAAAACAGCAAGCGGCAGTCTCTTCATGGACAACTTGTATATTATCAACACTTTTTGAAGACAGCAAGTGGCAGCTTCTTTATGAGCAGCTTGTGGGTTTTTAGCAACAAGTGGCGGAGTCTTCATGAGCAGCTTGTGTGCTTTAATATTCTTTGAAGACAGCAAGTGGCGGTCTCTTCATGAGCAGCTTGTATGATATTGACACCTTTGAAAGGAAGCAAGTGGCGGCCTCTTTATTTGAGCAGCTTGTGTATCCCCAACGATAATGTCTACTCAGCAAATGGCATCCCTTTCGGAAAAGTCCCGTGGGGAAGTTTGTTATTTTATCCTTTTCAAGCGATATCTTGGTTAAAGAAGAAATGTGTTACCGTTCTTGGTAAAATTCAGAAATCAGAGATGTTTATCTCCAGCCACAGTGCTGATGTCAATCATTTTGTTTTCCAGCCACAGTGCTGATATCAATCATTTTGTTTTCCAGCCACAGTACTGATGTCCATCATTTCCTTTTCCAGTTACAGTGCTGATATCAATCATTTTGTTTTCCAGTCACAGTACTGATGTAAATCATTACCTTTTCCAGTCTCAATACTGATGTAAATCATTCAAAAGTCTCTCATTTGAAGTCTATGACTCTGTTTCCCCAGTGGAGTTACAACCTCTTCCTCTGTGGGATTACTGTATAATGTGCTTGGTTTCTCCAGCATAGTCTGTCTCATATGGCGTCATTCCCCATAAAATTCAGAGCATTACATTCATATCATATCATGAACATAATCGCGGTATCTTAAGGCCAAAAATTATGTATTCTATATTTAAGTCCCTTCAATCTCGTCGAAAGGAAGATCCCAATCTTCATATCTCCAGATAGAAGAAACTTAAATAGGGGCAGCTGTTGTACCCCAATTTTTGACCTAAGATCCCATTTTTATTTTTGCATTTTTTAAGATAAGTCAAGGTCACGAAATAGGGTCGGTTTTAATGTCTCACCTTCGAGCTTTGACTATGCGAAGATTGTCAAGTGTTTTGAACATTTTTAGCATATGTATCACTAATTTCTAATCGCATACAAAGGTGTATGTTCATGTTTTCTTTTGTTTCATGTGCAGAGACAGGTCTGAATCAAGAGCATCAGGTGTCGCGCCCCAATTAAGGTTTTGAGTCTCCCAAGCCAGAAGTACGGTTGATTGTGGATTCTCAAAGACTGATTCATCAAGGCACACCGTTGCACCCTTAATTTCGCCCCTAATTTTTTCAGTCGCACATTCATACCATATTTTGTCATTTGGTCACAATCATTAGTAAATATCTTAATTCATCATCATTAGTCGTATTTAAGTTGACCAGAAAAGTCAGTTTAAATCAAAGTTTGCATCGTCTTTTAGTTAAAAATTACCTGACATTTCACTTCATGCATTTTTATCTCTTTACTCGTTTCTTGTATTGCTCCAAGTTGTTTATATGTCGATAATAAAAATATTTCGGTTTTATAGACAGACTGTTAAAAGCGATTCGACGCTATGCGGGAAATTAGTGAGAAAATATTTCAAGTTTTCACCTTTTACCGATCATTTTATGAATCTGCGTTTCGCGTAGATTATGACGGTACGCTCGCTTTATTTTTTCGGTACAGTTCGAAGTCTCGTTTTTAACCTTAAACGTCTGTTTAGTCTGATATTTTTATTATTATTTTATTTTTGATTTTTGACTTCTTGAATATTTTTTCTTTAATCTTTGTGACATGTAGATTATTTTAATGTGTTCATATTAATTTTTCGGATAAATTTTCGTCCGTTTTTTATCATTTTTGGTCATTTTTGGTCTTTATATTTTATTCATAAAATATTCAAAAGAATCATTTTAAATTGAGTTAATTTTAATACATTTAGTTTTTTTGGTTATTTTTATCATTTAAGGGCTATTTGGTCACAAAAAAATATTATTTACACTGTGCTTGATTCTTATTGGCTGTTAGCAAAAATAACGGATAGATGCAGATTTAATAATTTTGGACGGATTGGATTAAACCTGAAAACAATATCAAAGCCTTGAAATTCTTCACATCAGATTCACTCGTCATGAATTCAACACCATTCTCTCATCAAACACCTTACCCTCATTCCTCAGCTTTCTTCCATTGTTCCCAACCCTTTATGGCTAAATGTCCCAAAACGATTCCCAAACCCATCACCACAACAACAATGTCGAAACCAAAACCCCCCTCCATACATACCCACTTCATCTTCAACCCAAACCAATTCCTCTCATAAATTTTTTCCCTTTCTTCATCTCCACCGTTTGTTCATCTCTGCTAATTTTTTTAACTAATTTTTTACCCTTTTCTTATACGAGTCATTCTCTGTCTAAAACTTCAATTTTTCACAACTACCCTTTTACCCTTATGAAGTTTACGGTTGCTATCGGTCTTATTCTTTCTTATCCACAAGTTTACGATTTCGACTTAGTGTCGGTTCTGTATTTTTCTGGTTCAATTCAGAGTTTTACGGTTTGGTTCCATGGTTCAGGATTTCGGTAAGCTTCGGTTTGGTATTTTGCTTAATGATTCAGATTTCACGGTTTGGGATTTTTATGGTGTTTCACGGTTCGGTTCATATTTCTCTGCTATTTCTAGCTGGTGTTGAGTTTTCTGTTGTTATTATTGTTGAATGCTTTTTAAAAATGCAGAATTTTGGTTAGCTTGCAAGGTGTTCGATGAAAGGTCTCAACCAGATGCTTTGTTCTTTTCGCTTTTGTTTTACTTTTTCGTTTAATTTATTACTGTGCTTGATCTCCTGTTTATCTTTCAGTCTGCTTTATGTGCTCAACTTTAGTTTTGTAAACTAAATTTTGGTATTACTTTAATGGTATTTCAATATGAGTCTAAAAAAAAATATATAAAAAAATATTAGTAAATCTTATATTTAGATTTAGTTTAGTATTAATTTAGAATTTTTTTAATTAGTTTAGATGTATTTTATAACTTTAAAATATTTAGAATCATAATTAATAACTTTAGAATTTTAATTTAATTAGATATAAATTAGTAATGTTAGAATCTTTAATTAGTTTAGGTATATTTTGATAACTTAAAAATTTTAATTTGTTTAAATCTATTTTATAATTTTAGAACTTCCAATTAGTTTAGATACATTTTGATAACTTTAGAATTTTAATTTAATCTTAGAATTTTAATCTTTAATTTAGAATTAATTTAGTTTTGATTTAAAGTTAGTAATTTTATTATCAATATAGTTTAGATTAAATTAGTAATTTTATAATGAATTTAGTTTATACTTAAACTAGTTTAGATGTAATTTAGCAACTTTAGAATTAATTTAGTTTAGACCTAATTCAGTAATATTAGAGTGTTAATTTATTTTAGATTTAATTTAATAACTTTCGAATTTTAGTTAGTAACTTTAGAGATTTAATTTAGTTTTAGTTAATAACTTCAAAATTTTATTTAATTTAGTTAGACACTTTAGAATTTAAGTTTAGTTTACTTAGTAACCTTAGAATTTCAAATTAGTTTAGATAATTTTTTAATTACACTTTCCTTTTATTCATGATTCTTCTTTGTCCATTCATTTAGTTTCTTACAATTTATCTTGATATCTACCTTGTTCGTTTCTCGTGGATTTTAATTATTTATGATTTCTTACTCGAATATTAGATCTACCTGCTTATGATTAATTCCAAGGGAAATGTTTCAACTCAGCTGACTTCATGTCATCAAATACGTCTTCTAGAATCGTGCGAATACCCTCATTCATTTTTTTGCTTGTTTACTATTTTTTCCAAACTTAAGATAATTTTCCCAAAAGACTCCATTTTCAAACTCATACCTTTTAAGCCAAAACTTCGACACTAGGTCATCGTGTCTTCAAAAATCTCGTCCATACCCACCTTTTAGCCGAACGAATCATTTTAATCAAACAAACAATTTTAACCAAAAACAGATATTTCAAAAGGTTCCTGCGGAGTACCGTAGATGCATTGGGTGCTAATACCTTCCCATTGTATAACCAACCCCCGAACTCTCGATCTCTTTTAAAAACGCATTGTATTTTCATTACTTTTAAATATTAATTTACATTGCATACTTTAGGGTTTTATTTCGCTCTTTTCCCTTTTCCCTTGGAAATAATAAAGCGCGGTGGCGACTCTTGCTTTTGTGAGTCAAGTTAATTAATAGCTTGATCTCCGATTTTCACCGCTACACCCTAGGTCGTGGGTTCGAGCCTTGGCGCTGCCTTTTTGCATTTTTCTCACATTTTGCTTCATTTTTGTCTTCTTGCAGCTTGGGCTTCAATTTCATTGGGCCTATGTTTTTTGCTAACTTACTGCCTCCCATTTGCTTTCAACACCCCTGGCCCAAATATTTTATTTATTTGTTTTATTTTTATTTTTATTTTATCAAATATATTTTCTTAATAATAAAAAAATCATAAAAAATATAAAAATGATAAATATTATATTTTTGTTTTATTTTATTTTATTTTCTCATAAACAATATTCATTTTTCACCTTTCCTTTTGGATAAAAGAAAAGTCGGCGACGACTCTTGCTAACCGCAACATTTGCGATAAAATGCAAAACAATCAAGTCAGTTCTCCCACCGTATCATACATGTCTTCGACGAACTCAGAGCCTTCCATGCGTCTTTTCGGATAAGATCAAAATATTTGAATTCGAATCTCCTTCTTATCTTGAGCGCCAATCTCTGAAGATGGTCGAACGAAAAAATATTTGAAACCTTAGCCACATTTCGAATAACAATCTTTATTCAATAATTCGAATTGGTAAACCTTTCCAACGAATTTTACTCAATTCGAATCTCAACCTTTATGGCTTCACATAAATAAAGTAGTGGAATATTCTGAAGTATATTCAAGTCTAACTTTAAAATCCTTAGTCGAAATTTCCAGCTAACAACCACCTAAAGTTGTAAGTTCTATGTTCTCATAAGAACAAATTTGGTAGATTTATGATTATATATGTGATATTGAGTGTTATTAATTATTTGGAATTTGTTACTGCTCAGTTTCAGACGTATAGAACTTCAATGGAGAGTGCGGGAATCTCAATTACCATTGGAAGAGCTGGAAGTGATGAGTTGTGTGTTAATTGTGTGTGTAAGTATGTATTTCAAAAGGCATAATTTATGTATGAAACTGATTTTGTTCTCACGCGTTTGCAGGTCGAATATGTATTGATGCTTATGAAACTAATGATGAAAAGGACATGCTCAGTAGAAGTTGTTATTCGCTGAAATTGAATATATGCAGAAGAGGGTTAGTATTTTTATTTGCATTTAAAAAGTGATTATTTAAAAAAGTAATTTCTTCTAGTTAAAAATACTTCAAGTTGACTAAATACACCTTTTACATCATTATCAGCTATCAAGAAGAGGATGGAAAAAGATATCGATGAAGTTGGAAAGATTGCATATGGATTCAAAGCGAAAATTAGAGCTATCAACAGAGAAGTAAGCGAAAATAGAAGCAATCAACAGGCACGTTATTTGAGAGTATCTTAATTTACGATTAAGGTTATGCCTTGAAGAAGATTTTGTTTTTTGCAAATAGATATACCAATGGATAATTTTCTTATTTAAGATTGAGAGATAGGGTAAGCAATATGTGTCTTCAACCAGTAAGGGTAAACCTGCAAGCAATCCAAAAATGTATGATTATTTCTAGAATTCATAATTTATTAGAAATAGGGGTAAATTGATAGGGAACAAGTTTGATGGTATACCGAATAAATTATGTTAGGAATATATCGTTAATAGTGAGGATAAAGAATTTCATTTAGGCTATTTTTTACTGTAGAAATTTAAACTTTATCGAAAAATGCTGGTATCTTTTTAGGTAATCATGTTACTTGGTGATAGGGGTCTACTTACGTTTATACAAGTGAAAGTATAGTCATGATATTGGTATCACAGTGTGAAGGAACCACCTGTTCCACTCCTTGATGCCCCCATTTGTTTAATCTTAATCAGATATGTGCTTTGGCTTAAATTGGTTCTATGTATTTTCAATGACAACAATTTGACCAAGTATAATATTTTTTATAACTTTGGTTTCTCCTTATTCATGTATATAGGCAATCCTTTGGATCCAATCCAATGAACAATTTTAGGATTAGAACAATACCGGGTAAGTTGAGTTTTTGCTGCATAATTTGTTTGTACACAAGACCACTTGTTGTTCTTTATGGTTTGTAGTCTTCTCATTTGAGAAATCAATATTTCCTTCGCATCGTGTAGAATACTGTAGCAATAATCAAACAACAATTTTAATTGACTATGATTGGGTTTCAGGACATTTATTAAAAGAAAAATAACACCGGTGTTTGCTTTTAAAAAACCTTACATGATCATTTACAAGATTAAATTTCTTAGAAAGCAAGCTCAATATTTATTTTCTCCATTTTGCATCTTATGATGATTGTCCTTTCTCAACTTGCTGTTTGCAAGAATCTGAGAAAATTCAACGATGGAGGGAAGCTCTCAAACAAGCAGCTGGTATCTCTGGACGGGATCTACATGATATTTAAGGAATCTATAGATGAAGTTTTCCCCTGCCTCCAAAGAAAAGGCAATAGAAATAATAACTGCAATAAAGTGTTCTAAATCCTTGGCAATGAGGTTTGGACCCTTCAAATCATTTGTCTTTTTTGTTTAAGCATATAAAATTGTTAATTTACTGCTTCCTAGAGAATATAGGTTACTCAGACTCTGCATGATCATTAGATATTATCTTATGAAGAGGTGTATGTATATGCATAAAGAGGTGTTTTCTATTATACTTTGTGAATCAAGACTACCAAGTCATAAACTTATTAATCTTACTTGGAACATGATAAGAATTTGTTGAGCAAGAGTTCCGAATATTGTCTTCAATCCACTATGCTCATGTAGCAGCGGATCAGTAAGTGTGTTAATAGGTTTATGTTTTTGTTTTGAATCATTTTCATGTACTGTTTGGATGGAGGAATGTTTCAAGTCCGGAATAAGCTTGGAACTGTTTTGGACACGTTTTATGGACAACTTTGGCAATATCTTGTTCAGTTCAATAGGAAGATGCATATGTAAAAATTAAAAAAATTAGTCCAACAATATGAGATATCATTTTAACAATTCATACCCCATTATAGTTATTAATTGGTGTAATACAAGTGGTCTTTTAGGCAGAAGAAAAAGAAGATCAGAAGTCTGGCTTCTTAATATCTGAAGGAGACCTATTTCTGAATTGTGCTCAGCACCAGAATCTCAAGAAAAATCCAGATAAATAGTTACTTTTATGAAAATGATGACATGGCTATTTTCATTTTAATCCTTAGCATTTAAAATCTTTATAGAACAATAGGTACTAAGGCAACAACCATCTTTGGCATTCTCCTTTTTGTTTCCTTGCTCTCTCGGCTGGAAATTATGGACATGATACAATTTTTTGTATGTACTTAAATTATCTATTGCAGGCAATTTCAGATGAGGGGACAACTAAAGTTGACTAACTAAAAAGTAGGGGATGAGGATCAAATCAATTTAGAAAAATATTTATGGATACAAGACAAATTTACAATTAGGGGAGTTTTACAGCTAAATCGAAACTAGCTCTAAACTTATAGGGGAGGGTGGTAAAAAAGTGTTCTTTATCCTAAATGAATTAATGTATCTTTATGATTTGAAAATATTGTGATTCCCCTCTTACAAAATCAAGATTTCATCTCGAAAGACCTTATCGTTACTATTATGCTGATTGTGCAAGGAAATCTTCCTACGTGGCGCCCAAGTGAATTTTTTTATTTTATTTTATTAATGAAATGTTAATATTCTTTGAAATTCATATGAAAAAAATCTCAAAAAATTGTCTCTCCAAGGATTCGAACTGAAGTGCCTTACCTCATATTACAAATGTTCAACCACTGCGCCATCAATGTTCATGTTTCACTTAATTACCTCAAAATAAATTAATATTAAAATCATTTAATCTTCTTCTCAAATTTCAAATCTCTAATCTTCCTCCAATCTTCATCTGCAAATTGACAGTCCATTCTCTTACAGTAGCCAATAAAAAAACAGTTACTCCACCATTACTCTAAAGTTTTCCACATCAAACACTCAACAAATCTAACAAAACTGAAAGAAAAAAAGAAACAAAAGAAGGAGAGTAAATCTGGTCCTAAAGCTATCACTGGAAATCCTTGTTCAGATTTGCAACCATCCAACGACAATCGCGCACAGTTTTAACCCCCGCCGCTCATCGGAGAAAGAAAAGAAACAAGTAGGTGCCAGAACAACTCGTTGTCTGAGCAGGAGAAACAAACATTTAGGGGTTCAATGCTGGTTATTTTGTGCTTTTACCAATTTAAGGATTTGAATGGAGTCAATAAGATCATACAAATGTTTGCGAGGTTCAAAGTGATGAAATTTGATTTTCAATTAATGAATTTTGGAGTCCAAAGCAGTTATTCTATGTAGAACCTGAACTGAAAATCAAAATCATTTTTATGCTTACTTGATTTTCATTTATAACAGTAAGTGCGTGACTTTGCTTACATCTGGTTTGTTCTTCTTTTTTTCAACCAGGTATCAGAGAATAGTTGTCGGAGTTGTGGGTTAGCTTTCCAGTCCAAACATGATTTGTAGAATCACTTGCATGATGTAATTGACTTTAATGTTATTAAGCCTTCGTGGGATGACGATAGAGATCTAAAACCTTTCATGCAAGATGATTCATTGTTGCACGCAATTGAAATTAAATAAAGAAAAACAGCTAAATTGCAACTGAATTGCAATAAACGCTAATGAGTTTTTATAAATACAATTTGAGGGAATTTGTTTACAAATGAAAGTTGTTGGTCTAGTGGTTGGGTGTTTGGCCTTCATGGAGATGTGGGTTTGAATTCCAGTGAAACTTATTTTTTGAGATAATTTCTAGCTTATACAAGGTCCAACATGGTAACTTGTGTACAACCACATCACAATTTTTTTTCTTAAGGGAGATAAATCAAAACATGTCAATATGACAAGGGGATATAAGATATTTAACCCTTTTAAATATTACTCCCTCTGTCCCATATTATAAGAGAAATTCACTTTTTAGATTTATTGAATAATTAATGTATTTGGTCTATATATAGATCAAATACATTAATTATTCAATGAATATAAAAAGTGAATTTCTCTTATAATTTGGGACGGAAGGAGTATTAATTTTGACACTTTAAATATGAGACACATATTTATCACTATTGAATATATAAACTTAAGATGATATGACAAATATTTTTATAAACGGGAACTAGAAATATATTTTCAGTTCGCACTCACACATAATTCATTTGTTTTTTAAATTCACTCTATTTTACAATAAAATTTATTTCAAAAATATACTTTTGGAAATTCTTGTAAATACATTTCCGATTATGAAGATAATAGTCGGTCAGAAGAGCAACTCCAATAACAACTGACAAGCACAACAAGCTTAAAATGTCTACCATCCCAAAAGATGATTCAGACAAGAAATAAATTGAGTTTAAACATCCCCTTTAAAACCTCTAGCCATCATAGCCTGCAGTATTTTATGTTCAACTATCAGAAGATAAACTATGAAGTGTTTATTCATGATGATAATGGATGTGATAAAAGGCCTTCTATATCACTGGAAATTGAGTTTTAAAACATGGATGGCTAATTGAATGAAAGTAATTTTTTTTCTCGAACTCAGCATTATTGATGAAATCAACGCACAGTTCAATTTAAGAAATCAACTGAGACAAACTTCTAACCGATTTTATTTTTCATAATATTCAGCAGTTCTAAAATGAGTTGAGATAGGACTAATACATTTCCGGAAAATTTCATAAGTGTGTTTTTCGAAATAAATTTTATCGTAAAATTGAACGAATTTCAAAAACGAGTGAATTATGTGTGTGTGAATGCGCATTAGAAATATATTTCTGATTTTTAAACATATTTATGAAATCTCGCGTGGTATGTTAGAAAAAAAATAAGATGAAAAAAGAAATCATCTAAAATAATGTATTTATTTTTTATTAATCTGAAGTGCTACTTTATAAAATAAAATGTTACCCAGTATATTGGGCTTGTATGTTTTAGATGAGATAAAACCCACGAGCTTCATGGCCTTGGCTTAGATGGGCTATGATTGGGGCAAGCCTATCAACACTAGAGTTTTTACTAACAAACCTAACTTTATATAGTGACTTGTTTATTTATATTCTTATACATATTTCTTTCGTTAAAATTTATACAATTAATATTAAGTCAATTTAGTAATATATAATTATTTAACTAAATCATTTAATTAAAAATCTGAATAAACGAAGAGATAAATGGAGTGGTGGTGAGTGCACCTTAGAGGTGACTGAGGGAGAAAGGGGGATGATGGGAGTTCTATTCCCTTTTTAATTATTTGATTTAGTTTGATACTAACTAAGAAGATATTAAATTAGTTTAATAAAAAATCTATTTCAATTAAATGAGTAAAAACAAGTAGTAAGTCAGTTTACATGTTGAAACCAGACCATTTAAAATGTTCACGTGTTTTTACATAGAGGGGGGCAATTAAATTTTAAGATAAAATCCATTCAATTTATCGATTAAAAATCCATTTAATTTATACACCATATAAAAAGTAGGTAATTTTTTTTTTACCATGTACCTTCTCACAAATCCGTTATGAAAAATCTAAAAATAACCATATAATTTATAAGTACATCTTTGAACGCATGGTGTCTCATTTTTGTTAAAATTTGATTTAAGGATATATCTCTAAATTAATATATGATATGTTTTAGAGATATATATATCTGAAACTATCTCTTATATTTTAAATGAAAAACAAAAAATACATACAATATGAATAAATTAGAAATTCATAACAACTTGACATTAAGTTAAAACCCTCAACATTACATAGATAATTGATAATTGAAAAATTAATATTATACATCATTATAAATGGGTAGTTCCGAAAGTTGTAACATGTTGATGCTATCATCAACAAATCTTGCAATCTCTGCATCCACTTCAATCGGACACTTTGTTTCATATTGCCGAAATGTACTCCACATAACTTCTAAATATGCATCCGTCTTCAGTTCGAAGTTGGTGGTGAATTGTATCTTTTTGTTACTGTCAAACAAGGGTGAACGATACTCGAGTTTGACAATTCTTTGATTTCCTGGATATCGCATGAGCGTATTCAGTTTTGTTATCAGATCGACGCGAGTTATGTTCTCGCAACCCCTAAACTGAAGTGGTGACTTATCACCATTAAAATACACAAATGTAAGGTGGAGATATGTATTCATTATATGATATTTTGTGTTTTATACACAATGGGATGAGAGACACTCTATTTATACAAGTCTTGGATTACTTTGGATCTTAGAAACCTTATCATATCATCAGGACACTTTTCAGAGATGCATCTCCGGATAAATCCTATTATTTTACGTAAAAATGGTATTTTCAGATATGCACATCTGAAACGTTTCCTTTTTTTAAAATTAACATGAGGTTTATCCGAATATGCATATTCAAAATCACCCGTGAACCAGAGCCAAACCCGAAACTTAGAAAATATAAATAGAAGGTGTAAACCATAAAATGAGTAAACAAAGACAGTTGACATTTGCACCATAATTATTGAACATATATTACTTATGTATTAAATTGTATCAAGATTACATCGTTGACGATAATACATTCAAAAAGGTGTATCGATTACAATCTAAAATGCATCAAATGATCCATCACTACATTAATCTACAACTGGTTCTGCCTTCGCCTTTTCCTGATTTGATTCTCTTTCAAACTCGCTCAATTTAGTGAACTTTTCTTTTCAATCTAGAAATTGATTCAACCAAGTTTCTGCCTCTTTTGTTGAATGTGATGTCCACTCCAACGATGTATTTGGTATTGGACACTCATATTTCAAATAAACATCAACAAAATGTACCGATTTTGAAAAGTCACCATATGAACATGATACGTCCGAAAGGGTCTTTAGGTGGGCCACTCTGAAGTGGAAAAAATGTCTCCGAGAAATTATATCT